AATATAATGTAGCTTGTCAGTGCTAAGATGTGATGGCTGCATTCATTTATGTTTTTTAGGCTTTTTTTCCCTGTCATTTTTACCTGATGATCCTGCCATTAACACACGCCCTATGTTAGGGTGGCTACGCTTAATCCTCCACTGTAATTATGGAGGAGCAGAATAGTGCCTCCTTTGGACAGCTGCATTGTCAACCTGCGGCAAGGATAATGTTAGACTGATTAGTACATTTAGAGGGACATGATTGGCATATTAAAACCTAACTGAAGATAACACCTTTTAATCAGGTAAAGCAATTGTTTTTTTTTCCCTTTTGAGATAACAATATGAATAAAAGCCGACCATTGTAAGCCCCCTGTCAGTGTTCAATCGTTCGTTTCAACCTTCGACCTGACACTTTTGCTGGACAGCTTGTAACAGGGGGAAGCACCCATACCAGCTGAGGGCCCCCCATTTTTGTAATGAACTCCGATTTTGTAGACCCTACCAAAGATCCCCTAACCCGCCAAGCTGCCGTGACAAAAGAAAACCCCCATAACCTCAAAATTCAGTGAGGGAGGGTGGGCCAACCTGCTTCCTTCGTCGATTTCCAGAAAGAGGACGTCCCTCAGCCCTCGCAGTTCCTTCCCATGCGGCTCCTCCTGGACACCTGACTCCCACGTCCAATCAGGTAAGAGCAGCTATTCCCATTTTATTTTTAACCCTTTCTCCTGGGACTATTCCTCCCCCAGTCATGTAGCCCCTCCGCTTAGTCTCTCCGTGTCTGTCTTTTATTTATATGTCATTTATCAATGTATTTTACACATCAAAGGAACAATGTGCAAGCCCAAACTTTATATTAGGTTTTGGAAGTGCAGAATGATTAGAACCCCTGTCAGATTTTCAATGCTATCTCAGGCTCCATTACAGGTTTCCCTTCATTCACCACATAGTTGTCAACAGTTAGTAAAGCACACCTTGAAGAGTTAAGCCAAGGGTTGGCCCTCCAGCTTTTCTGGAACTACAATTCCCATGAGGTATTGCAAGACTGACAGTTACACTTGCCTCTTTGGGCGATGTTGGATTTAGTAGACTGCTCCCCGTTTCCCTAATGAGACCTTGCCGTGGCTTCCACTGTCCTCTAGACCAGTGTTTCTCAGCCTGTGTAACCTCAGGAACCACATTTGTCCTTCGTCATTAAGTCGCGACCCAAGTCGCACTGCGATCGGACTTTGGATGGGAGGTGCGTTTGGGATGCCATTCAAATGAATGGCAACGTAACGCACCTCCCACACCAGAAAGCGTGGTAGGTGCGATTACATGATACAGTGCTTTAATCATACGGGACTGTGCGATTATTGCACTGTCCTAGTGTGAATGGGCCCTCAAAAACACTGAGACTCACACAACCACGAACATTCTCAAACACATACATTCCCAAAAACATTTATTTTTTTAAGATCCAGACAGTCCCCCTATCTTACAAGAACTGGAGTGGATCCTCAGCTGTCCAGTGCTCCATCCATATGTGCATTGCTTGTGTGCCCTGTAGCGGTGCCGGGAGCCAGAATGTGAGGTCACTCCAGTCCAGGCACCACTACAGGACATACAAGGGAGCTGTATGAATGGATGGAGCACCCTCGCAGCCATAGCTGCAGCCCACTATGCCTCAAGCTTGCACTTGGTGCCGGGCAGTATATTTTGGTGTGAGAACTGGCAGTGGTGCAAAAGGTGGTGGCTGAGGAGCCTTTCACCTAGAAAGCACGCTGTGACTTTGGTGATTAAATACCCCCAAAATAAAGCCCTATCTGTCCCCAAAAAAAGGGTATAAAATTCATTTCAGTACAGCGTTGCATGATGGAATAAACGTCAGTCAAAGGACTGCAGCGCTGAACACTGAAAAATGGCCTGGCCAGGAAGGGGGTCTAAACACCTGGTCTTGAAGTGGTTAATAATCGACTAACTAATCGATTTTGAAAATAATCGTTAGCTGCAGCTCTATTTGCTACCCCTGCTCTAGACCGAACACTTTGAACCCGATCCTGAGTCATACTCTACGTCTCTGGGACTCCATCAAATGCTCCGGTGGCCTGGCGTCTCCGTATCTTCCTCTTTTGAAATTGGTCTGCACGCCTCTATTCCCCCTCTCCCCCGGTTGGTATAGTCCAGCTTATCTTTGATGGTGGATGGACCATGGTTTCCACAATATTTATTCCCCCCACAGATGTCCCGACTTTCCAGTATCTTCATGAATCCCATAACATCCCTTTGAAGGAGTGTATTACCTATGCCCAACTAAAGCACAGTGAGGGGAATTCATCAAAACCAATCAGCTTCTCTGTCTCATTTTCAGATTTTAACTGAACAAACTGAAGAGAGAAGCTAATTGGTTGCCTTGGGCAAGTGCTCCAGATTTTGTCTGCTCCAGTTTTGATAAATTGCCCTATTTGTGTCCATCCTCACTAAATCTCACCCTTCCCCTTATCAGCTAAACCCATTTGAGTGCATGAATAATTTCTTCTCATTTGGCAAGCCTGGATTGCCTACTCTCAACCTCCACGATTTGACTTTGTATAATTGAGTCTTTGCCTGTTTGTACTCCTCCCCTTAGTACTTCTCTATCTTTTCTTTCCTCTTACCTTCTCTTTCTCTCATTTTTCTTCTTTTCCCGTTCTTCATTTCTTCTCTGCTGCTTCCATGTTCTGTGTTCCCCCTTGTAGTGTCACATCACTTCTGTTTGCCCCATCTCTTCTTTGATGTTAAACCTGCCATGTCTGTGTGGCTTCCATTACCCTGCTCACCTTTGGGCTCCTGGAGACCCTTATTTTATCTCTGACCACCAGAGAGCTCCAAGACCATCATGGATCTTTGGGTTTTGTTCTTGCATACTGTATGTGCCATATGTACGGTTATTATTTCAATGCTGACCCGTACAATATCTGCTCACTTCTTCTTTGTTACCTGCCTAGATCTTTGTACTTTGTTACTTTTTCTAGTAAATTCTTTCTGAAAGAAGTTTCGGTGTGTAGAGGTCGAAGGAATGCAGCACAGTGAAAGGTGACAGTCTGAATATAACGTCAGCATTTCTTCCTGAATATAAAACACACTAAATATAGGATTATATATACACTGTATTGCCAAAAGTATTGGGACGCCGGCCTTTACACGCACATGAACTTTAATGGCATCCCAGTCTTAGTCCGTAGGGTTCAATATTGAGTTGGCTCCGCCCTTCGATTCAGAACGATTCATTTCGTTCCGAATCGAAATTCGGACAAAATTTCGGAAATTCGTGGATTCGGAGCACCTGAATTTCCGAAATGTACCATGTCCGAATTCATCCGGAATTTCGGATTCAGTACGAATTTCGTACTAATGGAAATGAAATTGGAAATTTACGATAATTACTACAAAAAAAGAGGATTTCCTAGCATGTGAAGATAAAAACAAAACATTACTTCATGTTCCTGTGCATGCACTGTCAATGTTTAAATGGATAAAAAATATTAAGAAAAGGATTTTAATGCCCCTTTTAATAGTGAAGAATTATTAAAGGGACGAATTACGAATCTGATCCGCATCCAAAACGAAACACATACAGGACACGATTACGGAAATACGAAATAACCGAAATCCTAAACTAAACAAATTTTTTGCGACTGCACATGTGTAGCCGCTATAACAGCTTCAGTGAGAGCGACCCGTTCTTTCACAAATGTTTGTAGAAGCGTCTGCATGCCGAGGTGCGTGATGTTATACACCTGAGGCCATGGAGGTGATTGGCAACACCTGAATCCAATGATTTGGAGGGGGGTCCCAATACTTTTGGCAATATAATGTATATATGAGTGAACATCCCCTCCAATAAGACGGCCATTCTCTTTTGTAGAAATCATAGATTTTAATCTCATTACAAATTTACAAGGCAGAAAGATTCATGTTTATTTACAAATGAACTGAAATTACAAAAAAGACAGAAAAAAAGGAATGTATGATCCTTCCGGCATGATGTGCTGGTTCCTTTATTTTAAAGGGTGAGTCCACACAAGTTTATATCTCAGTTATAGGTGGATGCTTATGGACTGTTCTTTTAAATTATGTATACAAGGGGGGGTTTTAGAATTTTTGTTGGGTTCTAAATGCTGTTTGTGTCCCCACAGAGGAATTTCCCTTCTCTTCCTGTTCTGCGTGACACCTGGGCAGGAAGTGAAAAGAAACTTCTCTAGAGGGGACAGCAATAAAATCCTGACGGAGCTTCCAAATTTTCTTCAAATGTATTTTCCATGGCTGCCTATGTCCCCATTGTAAAATGCCTCATCGAATGCCTCATTTCCTGTTCTAACAACCATCAAACCGAAAGGGAGTGAAGAAAAATCCCCTCACTTCCTGTTCTATCTGATGCTTATTATATATAGAAGGGGAGTAACAAGATTTTCCCTTACTTTCAGTTTGGAACGACTTTCAAAAAATGGAAAGGAAGTCAAGAAATATTTCTTCACTTCCTGTTCTGTCTGACAATTATTATAAATAGAAGGGAAGTAACAAGATTCTCTCTTCCCTGTTTTGCATGATGCTCATCAATTAGAAAAGGACTGGGAAAACTTTCTCTCACTTCCTGTTCTGTGTGACAACCCCTTAAATAGATGGGAAGAGAGGAAAGCACTCCCAAATGAGGACGCAAGAAGCAGTAAAAAGTTGACAGAGGTTCTGCTTGACACATAGTATATATAGAAGGAAAGTAATTAGATGTTTCCCTTACTTTCTGTTTTGTATGACGCTCATCAAATAGAAAGGGAACGTGAAAAGTTTCACTTCCTGTTCTGTGTGACACACCTCAAGTAGACAGGAAGTGAAGAAAACTCTCCCAAATGGGGACACCAGAAGCAGTAAAAGATGACAGGAGGGTCTAACCCCTCCTCCCTCTATTCATGAGCGATCCAACCGGCATCTACCCATAAATAAGTTTGCTGTGGGTGGACTGACCCTTTGATGTAAAACACAGACTTCCCTCCAGGGATGGCCTACAAGCTGGGCAGCAGGAGGGCGGTGAACACGAGATTGGCGCCATTACATATCAGGGACAGCAGGTTACAGAGAGACGCGATGCCGTGGTAGCGCAGGAAGGATTTCCGCAGGGCCTGGTACTTGGGGTCCTTTTCCCGCAGGAGCTTGTAGCCTTCGCTATTGGCGCTCAACCCTATGCCCTGACCCAGGCCGTGCTCCCGCTCAATGACATGCATCTTGAACATGACCTTGGAGGTGGAGGGCGAGAACCAGCGGGCGTGCAGCGCAGACACGATCAGCGATATGAAGAAGAGGGCGATCTGTTGGGGGAAGTGAAGAGAGAAGGTAAGAGTGGAAGTCCGAGGAAGGGCAGGCCAGATATACAGAAAAAGACAGCAAAGCTGAAGGAGACGTGTACATGAAATGGCATCTCGAGTTTTCCTTTATATTTTTTATGTCTCTTATTTTGTTCTATCTGTCCCCAAAAAATGGTATAAAATTAATTTCAGTACAGCGTTGCGTGACGGAATAAACGTCAGTCAAAGTACCGCAGCGCTGAATACTGAGAAATGGCCTGGCCAGGAGGGGGGTCTAAGCACCTGGTCTTCAAGCGGTTAAAAAACATATTAAAACAAATATTTTTTACAAGTAAAATAACGTAACAAGGCAACTTTACATGGCGGCTGCTATGCTAAGAATGTGAAGAGACCTCAACAACAGGAGATCACATTACAAACAAACAATTAAATAAATCAGCGGAGGGCCCTCATTTCCTCCTGTGCACACAAGCAGCCGCAAACATGGCAGGCTGTGCTTTCTTATAAGAAAGCCCAGCATCCTCAGCAAACTCTATCAAGTTAGCAACTGGTGGCTGTAAATTGTAGTTACTCTACTTCAGGGGTGACCCTCCAGCCGTGGTGAAAATACAAATCCCATTGGAATTGCAAGGTGCCGGCAGCCGCAGGTATGACGTCCGGAGGCAGATGTATGGTGGGATTGGTAGCTTCACCATAGCAGGAGGGCCAAAGTTTGCCTACCCCTGGCCTACTTCATATTATCTCCCTCTAGTGGCCATCCAGGGGATGTGATTCATATCCGTGCATAAAGGATGTGGGTACGTTTTAAGTTTTGCATAATAACATTATATCGTTTCTGGACCTGATCCCTACCGCTATGGAATTCTGGGTGTTCCTGCACACTTTGGACTATTCTCCCTTCCACCACCCAGAGAGCAGGACCTCTTCATAATGGCCAAGGTAGGCGAGAAGACTCCGGGGACTACGATTTTACCAATGTATTCCCTACGACATGTAGGAAATCAATGGGTGGTTTGAATCCCCAGCATCTGAAATGCCACTTGGAGGACGGAAGACAGAGGGGAAGTCTGAAGAGTGAGACAAGGAAAAGGACGACTCTTACCTGCACACTCTCGCTGGGTGACAGCAGCTCCCGCGGGTGGTACATGGCGTACACCGCCAGATTCAAAAAAGAGAAACACATGACTATGTGGTTATAAAATGGGAACAGTTTACTCTGTACCAGGCCAAACGTGTGCCGGGCCACCCCTCTGATCAACACAAACCCTGCAGGAGAGAAAAGGTGTGTCAAAGGTTATCTGGCAGAAGGGAAAAAGCAGAGAACACAGATGAAACGGGGGCAGTATTCTACAAAGCAGAGGCAGGAAGGCCGCAGCCGTCCCCTGCTATTCACATGTAACCCATATCCAGCATTCCGCTCTGGCTAAAGGTGGCCATACACTCTACAACCATCGCAAGACTTTAGTCTTGCGATGGTTGTAAAGGGATTCAAAAAACGTACGATCTGCCCATCTTGGACAGGCAGATCGCACTCTCGATCATTGCAAGCCCGCCCCCCTGAGGGGCGGGCTTCCGATGACCGCAATGCTGAACGGGCAGTGTGCGCGAGCGCACACCGGCCCGTTCGGCATTTGTCTTCCGAGCACCGTTCTAACCAGCCGAGAGTCGTACGATTCCCGGCTGGTTTTCGAACATGCTGGTTCGACGGAAGACGTGCGACCGTACAGTAGAAACGGTCGCACGTCTCCGTTCACACTGCTCGATTCTCGTACGATAACCGTGCAGTGTATGGGCACCTTAAGGATAGACGGCCAGCCCCGGATGCAGACAGATTGCTCCAAGGGCCCGTAAAGTGTCCCCAGCCACAGATAACGGCCGGATGTGTGGCTCCAGACAGCGATTCATTGGTTTGCACAGTCTGAGTGGCCCTAGCTGACCGAAAACCTCCAGTGCTGCCAGCCCCAAACAAGTCCATGCAAATGGGACCTAAGAGAGGAGAAGGTCTCACCTGCTACAAAGGTCATCCAGAACTGCATGCCCCATGATGCCGAGAGCACCAGAAGATAGATCACCTTCACCAGGCTTCCCGGCTCTCCCTCTGTCACCATCCTGAGGAAACACAATCACATTCCGATTATTACAGTAACCCGGCTCCTGAGTGTCTTATTACCCCTGTAACATCATATTACAGTAACCCGGCTCCTGAGTGTCTTATTACCCCTGTAACATCATATTACAGTAACCCGGCTCCTGAGTGTCTTATTACCTCTGTAACATCTTATTATAGTATGTGCTGGAAAAACAAGTCGGATCCATGGAGGCCGATCACCTCACAACTTACATGAAGGATCTGCTACTGACAGCTCGGTGCCAGATACCACAGCACACCTTCAGAGGTCTAGTGGAGTTCATGGCTGGACGGGTCAGGAAAAGGGGGAACTACTCAATATTAGGTGGGTGGTCATAATGTTATGGCTGATGGGTGTATTACAGTACTGCAGTATTCTGGTTGCTGGGTACGGCTTGAACTATCTTGCTTTGCATGTAATGAGTCTCTCTTGTATATTAGTTTCACCTTTTAAGTTGCATTAGTGAAATAAATGAACTTTGCACGATATTCTAATTATTCGAGTTTCACCTGTATACTCTCCGCGTCAGGTTGGTATACAGGGTCTGGGATCACAGTTGCTGAGTCATTCTACAGACATCTGGCCAACTGAATGGAGAACAAACACAGACATTTGTGGTGCTCTTCATGTCAGAAAGCGAGTGCTGTGAGGGGAGTTTATAAAATCAGGATTCCATCTTTCATTTTCAAAGCTTAAAAGGAGAACTATGGGGTCAGGGCTTTTCCCCATAGTTCTCCTTAGGGTAACGGGAGGACACAAACTAGCGCCCTCCCGTCACCCTTAGCTCAGTATACCGCGAGCTACCGCTCGCGGTATACTGAGACGCCGCAGCCGGAGCGGATCCCGACATCGATGTCTGGATCTGCCCAGCTGCGTGAGTGACAGCTGGTTCTGCCTATCTAGAGGCAGAGCCAGCTGTACCTGCCCTCTCCATTCCGCCAATCAGCGCTGGCGGATCGGAGCGGGGAATCCAGCCCCTCCCCTGTCACGGCAGAGAGCCGTGACAGGATCGAGAGGTGAGCGAACGCCGATATGTGTTCGCTCACCTCCCGATCTACTGAGCCGACAAGTGACAGTCTCATTGTCACAGGTAGGCTAGAAATATGAGGTGAGTGAAAAGCACTCACCTTGTAGTTCTCCTTTAATTGGTCAAACTGAAAGCAGATGCGGTTTGGTTGCCATGGGCAACTGTTACATATTCTGTCTGCTCCAGTCTTGCCTTCTGTGGCTGTTGGGTTAGCTATGGCCTACTGCAAAATATATATGGGGGTGGTAATCAGCAAAGTGTAGGTGCCCCTTTCACCTGTGACCCCAGTTATTAGTGTTCCATGGTTCTGGGGCCCTCTGTAGTCTGGGTGTCAGGTAGATCCAGCTACAGGTAAATCTTATTTGTTCACGCATTCACTACATATATGAATACACCCGGAGCCTACAAAGATATATATTCACATCACACACAGGCAGAGCTGGTGGCAATCAGAAGTTTGGTAGCTGTGCGACTACAAGCATCAGACCAAATGCATGCTGGGACTTGTGGTTCTACCAATGACCTCCACCACGAGCCACAAGTATACATAAATGACGTCACGAGCCCCGCCCCCGTACCTGACTCCTCACACCGCACAGCCTGGGAGCAGCTCGGCGACTAACAGCGACTTCCGGGTGCAGAGGCAAAAGCCGATGCCTCCTCACCACCCGCCTTCCAATCAACGTTCTGGCCGCGCCCCCGGTCTGACATTGGGCCAATCACGATGCCTGCCAGCTGTTTGACACTCACGGCTAGGGGCTTCTGCCTGTACGGAAGCCTGTTTGAGTCAATTGCTGAGCCATCACATAGTTCATAGTCCTGCAGAGTAAACTTTAGGCATTATCAGCTCGAGCCCACAGAGGCAGCAGATACAGTGGGGGAAATGTATCAAAACTGGAGGGGGCAGTATCTGGAGCAGTTGCCAATGGCAACCAATCAGTATTTTTTTCATTTTAAAAGCTTAACTGAGCAAGCTGAAGATAGAAGCTTATTGGTTGCCATGGGCAACTGCTCTGGATGTTACCGGCTCCAGTTTTGATAAATTCCCCCCAGTGTGTGCTCTGTAATCTGGTACCTGGCTATAACATGAGTTGTGCTGTATAAACAGCGGGACAACAAATCCCAGCATGTTCAAGCATAGTCTCCCAAGCTTGTCCTTGGACATGCTGTAGGGCAGTGGTGGGCAAACTCTGGCCCTCCGGCTGTTCTAAAACTACAATTCAGTGCTTGCCAACTGAGCAAAGGTCATAGAAATAATCATAGGATCTCCTCTGAATGGAAAGTCAAAGCTCAGCATTCAGATTGGCTGACCCTCACCTTTTGCCAAGATTTCTCATTATAGGGTCATCAGCGGCGGGAGCCCAGAGCAGCATTTTCTCCAGGATCCTGAGATTATTTTTGTATCCATCCCAAACACAATTGGTAGTTTATTGGTTACACTCAACTCCAGAGAAATGTTTAAATTACCTTTTGGAAAAAGTATGGAGGGTTAGTGCCTCACACCAGCCCGGTCTGTTGCAGTGCATTGCACTAGGTCAGCCCATTCATGTCTCCTTATCCTCATGTGGCGCCTGAACCTCAAAGACCAGTCTGAGCGCACAGCTGCCTTATATGAAGCAGGGAATGGGCCTTCATGTGTCAGTTGTATTGGGCTCCAGGAGCTTTTAGCACCAGGATTGGGATCTTTATTTTAACCTATGTGATTGTAATCTTTAAATCTCATTTTTTTCATTCCTGTCCCTGTGGTGTGCTAGCTTTGTGAATGGAGCCCAGCGTGTCATAACATGACCCTTTGCAGCACTTGCACAAGACACCTAAAAAAAACAAAACCTGTTGAAAGCGTAATGTCATGGCTCAGCAACCGTGGCTATCGCCTTTGAGGAGGCATAGGTGTGACCATAATGAGGTCTGATGACCCCAGACTCAGGGGAGTAAAGGGGGAAGCTGTGCTGAACACAATGCCATCCTCATTTCTTCAAGATTCACAAGTCAGCAACATAACAGTTTTCAATCTGATGTCTAAGCTGCAGAAAGGGGTGATGACTTTTAAAAGGTCACAGCCAAACTGAACACAGCTCAGCTTGAGACACGAGGAAAGCCACCGTAGATCTTATTAAAACATTCCAGGCTGTTATAATAGGTACCTTTTATTGTGATGTTTTAGTAATGTTCAACACATGCTGTCCCGGGTGTGTCTCCATGTATTCTTTATTGTCTACCGTCTCGTACTGTAATACAATATCCCCCTGCTCCACTACCCTTGAGGTGGTCTACATGTCCACTTGAGTGAATGGTTTCCTCGAGTATACAATGTGGTTATTCACAGGGCACCTCTCTCACATACAATCCAGGGCCCTGTCAAACCATCAGGAGCGCGGTCTAGTGCGTTCGGCCTCTGGAACGCAACCCGGTCGGCTCAGCTTTTTTGGGGGCGGGAGGGGGCGTGATGGTGCAATGAACTCAATAGCACCGTAGCCACGCACTCGACCACAGTGCGATCGCCGACAACCGAACGCGTGGCACATTAGTGCCTGCGCTCTGGTCCAGTGCTATCTGCAAACAATAGTGTTTGCAGAATTTTCTGCAGATAGCACTGGACCGGAACGCAGGCACTAATGTGCCACGTGTTCGGGTGCCGGCGATCGCACCGCGGGTGGGGTGTGTGGCTGCGGTGCCATTGAGTTCAAAGCACTGCCACGCCCCCTCCCACCCCAAAAAAAACTGAGCCGGTTGGGTTGAGTTCCAGTGTGTTCCAGAGGTGAAACGCACTCCTGATAGTGTAACAGGGCCCTTACAGTTGAGGCACGGCCTTCCAGTGGGGACAGAAGGAACAAATGTGTCTATTATTTTTTCTAACCTTCTTCCTTGCTGCCTTCCCTTCCTGTTATTGTATGCTGTTTATAAAACTTGAAAATAATTGGGATCCATGCTTCCTAGTTAATACCCACTATCTGCATTAGGATATAGTTTTTTGATTGGATGTATATTGTTGTGTATATTCAGTGTCTTTGTATGGATATTCATATTTCATAAAATACATAATTTAAAAAAAAAAACATTCCAGGCTCTGCACAGCCTGTTAATGAGCCCTGTTGTAAAGGCCAAACTGACTCTTCTGAACCATACTTAGAAGCTGGAAAACCAGAGACTGGCTGGAGACAGCCCTATGGTAAATAGTCCGGAGGAATACACATCTGTCAGACTGGGGATAGTGACCCATACTAATGTACAGAGGTGCCCAGAGCTAAGTTTCATAAAATGTCCATGATTATTGCTATGATTGCTGCGATGGCGCAACAAGTGTTTACACAAATGTATAAGAGAATAACAATCAGTTTGATACCAATGCTATAATGTACAGAAGGCGGATGGGACACATTAAATCTCAGAAGCCGTATATGCGTTCGATCAATATCATATTTATCAAATATTGATTTAATTCCATTTAATAATACTTTGGTTGTCGGATTGTAAAACCGTGCCTCCCGGAGATCGACAATTTGAAAAACCATGCCATCTGTAAAATATGGTTGTAGGCTATAAGGGAGTGTCCACTGAATGATAATGAAACACTTCTGCACTCCTAAATCTCTTTTGAATGGGTGGGGTTTGCTCAGTGACACCCTCTAAGGGTCAACAAAAACCTGCTGCACTTGGCAGCTGCAGCTCTCTCTTTCCATAAGAAGCATACCAAAATGCTGAGAGCCATTTGTGAGAGCCAATGACTCTGTCTGAACCGGACTCTGAGCATGTTGCACAGGAACCGAGGCCAGACAAACGTTAGGGACTTCTCCGCTTTGATCCCGTTTATTTTACTGTTACTATTGTCTGGTTTTGGAATACATTTTCTATAAATATTGTCTTACGCTGTTTTTTTCTTTTCATCAATATTTAAAATCGGTAACCGAAATCTAACCAAAATCTTTATATGCTGAGGAATTAATGAACCCTTGCCTCTTTGAAGACAGCTACCATATTTTAAACTCTGCAATATTCCTGTCTGGTGTGGCAGCAAGTTTCTCAGACATTTCTTAAAAGTGAGAACTGCTATAGCAAATATTGTGAACAGTGTGTGCTTCCATTAAAACGCATCATGACGGCTACCATTTGGTGTGTAAAGGGTTACCTGTTGAGTTAACCGATCCCAGTGATGATCCCTTTTATACTGCTGGTGCTTATATTGTTGTCCTATAAGCATGAAACTCTGCACAGGATGGGGGCACATTCGTCACATTGTGGTGGCAGCGGCAGGATCTGAGACTGCTGCTGCTATGTTGTAGTGGCAGCAACAGGATCTGAGTATGCCACCATAACAAAAAATCAAACCCCTACAACTGCTCATTATAAATCCATTCTAATGTACTGTATAGAAGGGTTGATGTACAAAGGTGTCAGACTCAGAAGCAAGTCAGAAGCAGCCTGATCCTATGTGTTCTCAAGCCAATTCGATGCAATTAGTATGCGCTTATATTGCATTTCTTTTGGCTTAGAAGACTTAGGCCTGGAGAAGGCAACACTAGAGCGGCGGAGAGCTACCGGAACAATATGGTAGAGATCAAAGATCACCAGGGTGCAGCAAAGCTTTTTCTTTAAAAGAGATAACCTGGCAAGGCTCCATTGAAAAGTAAAGAAGGTTTGAAGGGTATGTTTTGTCATTAGTAATGCAGAGTTCAGGGGTCATTAGTAACGCAGAGTTCAGGGGTCATTAGTAACACAGGGTTCAGTAGTAAGTAACACAGACTGCAGGGGTCAGTAGTATGTAATGCAGAGTTTAGAGGTCAGAAGTAATGCAGAAGCCAGTAGTATGTATTGTAACACAGAATGTAGTGGTTAAGCGCAAGTAATGTAGAGTTCAGAGATCAGTAGTACATAATGCAGAATTCAGAGGTCAGTAGTATGTGACGCAGAGGTCAGGAGTAGGTAATGCACAGGTCAGTAGCATGTAAGGCACAGTGTGGAGATCAGTAGTTTGTAACGCACCGTGTAGAGGTCAGTAGTATGTAATGTACAGTGCAGGGGTCAGTAGTAGGTAAGGTACTGTGCAAAGGTCAGTACTATGTAACGCACAGTGTAGAGATCAGTAGTATGTTATGCACAGTGCGGAGATCTGTAGTATGTAAAGCTCAGTGAGGAGGTCAGTAATATGTAACGCACAGTGTGGAGATCAGTAGTATGTAAGTTGCAATGCAGAGGTCAAAAGTATGCAATGTACAGTGTAGGGGTTGTAGTACGTAAGTTGCAGTGCAGAGGTCAGTAGTATGTAATGTACAGTGCAGGGGTCAGAAGTATGTCAGTTGCAGTCAAGAGGTCAGTAGTATCTAATGTACAGTGCAGGGGTCAGGAGTAAGTATGTAGAATGCAGCCTGCCACTGAGGACCTGTTAATACAACCGGCACCCTTTATTTCTATTTCTATAATAGTGCATTGGGTTGCCAGTCAGCATGAGTAGCACTGCAACACAACATACAGTATTACAACATTTTATACATATATGTATACAGTATATCATTATACTGTCCTATTTAATAACAGTTTGCAATGCAATTACTCCATAACCGATAAATGCTGCAATGTTCACTTTTTGACTTGTTCCCAAATTAAACATTAGGGGGCGCTGATCCAATAGCTGCGCTCAGGTACGGAGAGGTGGGTGTTAGGATCACAAAACATATGCCGTCAGCTTACTAATGAATCCCCTACAGCTGTTACACTCCTCCTCTTCTTCCCTCCATCGCTGTATCCTGCTCATTGTTCCCCCTCCATCTCTATCACCTCCATTCTCCTACCCTATATTCCCTTATTTCATCACAGCCCCAGTTATCTCATTAGCCATTTATAATTTAACCCCGTCACTTGTCCTTTCCTCTCCATCCTCTGTTTACGTGCTGTCCCTTTTCCACCCCACTAATTTTTCTCGCTTTCCCTCTCCATATCCCTCTTCTCCCTCTCCTCCATCCCCCCCAGTACCCGCTCGTTATCCTCGCTGCCTCTATTCTGGGAGGAAAGTGGAATGGCGGCCAGCTGTCTCTGCTGCCCCTGAGCTGATACCCCGGAGCGTGATAGGGAGGGAATATCTGGAACATGTCAGCAGGTCTGTAATAAGATGGTGGGATGGAGAGGGCACACTAATTATGAGGGGATTCCCATCTCACTGATACCAAAACTGCATCAATAATAATTTAGAATCCCCCCATTCTTCATAACATCACACGTCTCTTATAATGATGTCAACAGTAACTCAGTAACCCGGCTCCTGAGTGTCTTATTACCCCTGTGACATCTTATTACAGTAACCCGGCTCCTGAGTGTCTTATTACCCCTGTGACATCTTATTACAGTAACACGGCTCCTGAGTGTCTTATTACCCCTGTAACATCATATTACAGTAACCCGGCTCCTGAGTGTCTTATTACCCCTGTAAGATCTTATTACAGTAACCCGGCTCTTGAAGAGTAAGGGTGATCTAGCAATTTTGTATTTTGTTGTACAGTTTGTCTGCATAGAATGCAAAAGACTAAGGCCTCATTCACACACAACGGAAGAGCAATATTGTATATTGCGTATATACATGTATATACGAGCGTATGTGCGTATATGCGTGCACTATTTGCAATCCCACAATGCATAATTCGTAATAAAAATGTTAATGAACTGTACGCGCGTATATGCGTGCAAACACGAGTATATGCGCTCGCTGAATACTGAAAAATGGCCTGGATGGGAAGGGGGTTTAACACCGCGGATGTCAACTGGTTAATCATAAATAAGCTGCCCGGACGCATCTTGGTTCCATTCTGTTTTTGCGCATTTTTACGCTACGCAAATATACGGCTCCATACGCAGCTATGTGTATGGAGCCATTTATTTGCATATGCTGCATATGGTATGTATATATGTGGGATGCACTGATACCAGTTTTGCGAGTACAAGTACTGATACCTGTCCAAGTACTCACTGACACAAGTACTGATACTTGCCCAAGTCCTCACAGACACAAGTACTGATACTTGCCCAAGTCCTCACAGACACAAGTACTGATACTTGCCCAAGTCCTCACAGACACAAGTACTGATACTTGCCCAAGTCCTCACAGACACAAGTACTGATACTTGCCCAAGTCCTCACAGACACAAGTACTGATACTTGCCCAAGTCCTCACAGACACAAGTACTGATACTTGCCCAAGTCCTCACAGACACAAGTACTGATACTTGCCCAAGTCCTCACAGACACAAGTACTGATACTTGCCCAAGTCCTCACAGACACAAGTACTGATACTTGCCCAAGTCCTCACAGACACAAGTACTGATACTTGCCCAAGTCCTCACAGACACAAGTACTGATACTTGCCCAAGTCCTCACAGACACAAGTACTGATACTTGCCCAAGTCCTCACAGACACAAGTACTGATACTTGCCCAAGTCCTCACAGACACAAGTACTGATACTTGCCCAAGTCCTCACAGACACAAGTACTGATACTTGCCCAAGTCCTCACAGACACAAGTACTGATACTTGCCCAAGTCCTCACAGACACAAGTACTGATACTTGCCCAAGTCCTCACAGACACAAGTACTGATACTTGCCCAAGTCCTCACAGACACAAGTACTGATACTTGCCCAAGTCCTCACAGACACAAGTACTGATACTTGCCCAAGTCCTCACAGACACAAGTACTGATACTTGCCCAAGTCCTCACAGACACAAGTACTGATACTTGCCCAAGTCCTCACAGACACAAGTACTGATACTTGCCCAAGTCCTCACAGACACAAGTACTGATACTTGCCCAAGTCCTCACAGACACAAGTACTGATACTTGCCCAAGTCCTCACAGACACAAGTACTGATACTTGCCCAAGTCCTCACAGACACAAGTACTGATACTTGCCCAAGTCCTCACAGACACAAGTACTGATACTTGCCCAAGTCCTCACAGACACAAGTACTGATACAGTTTTGTTTATTGTCATGTTTTTCTAAAACAATACAGACTACTGATATCAGGACAGTGGTGGAGCGCCAGGACCCAGCTGCAACCACTGCAACCCTGGTAGTTCTCATGAAAATGCCAAGTATCGGCACTGGTATCTGAACTGGTATCGGCACTGGTATCTGAACTGGTATCGGCACTGGTATCTGAACCGGTATCGGCACTGGTATCTGAACCGGTATCGGTGCATCCCTAGTTTTAAGCGACCCGTCTTTTTGCTATGTATATTACTTTTATTCTAGAATTCTATTATAATCACATCTAATGGTCTGCTTATGCTTGAGTTAGGTGTTTAAATAGTATTGAGCATATACTGTATCATGGGCAGTGGTCCGACAATGTTGTAGTATGAGATGTCTGTATGGAATTACATAGAATTGTAATAAAACTATGGACTGTGGTCAGCTCATGTTGGAGGTTCAGAATGATGTCAGTGCTATACTAGAATTGTATTCTAATGAACAGACAGTGTTGGGTCATGTTGGTGGTGTTGACTGGTAAGTCATTCCTGACTGCTGTGAGTACATTCTAAATATATATTGCATTATAACATTTTTGTGTCTTCTGTACAAACATCACCAGCTGCCTAATCTATATGTATTTGCTGCAGGTTATGCTGGAAGAGGCTGCGTCTCACACATGGCTACACAGGAGCCGGAGATTAAGAGCAGCGCCTCCATTATCCCATGTTTCCTCTTTGTAGAGGTATTGCCTTATTCTGTCTTCTACAATGTCCCTACAATAAGAGCATTACTGTCTTATCTGTGTTCATTTTCTGTCCTCTCTCCTTCAATACACTCATCTTCCTGCTCTCCCTTCCCCTGTCATAGTGCCCGGACAATGCTGGTGGTGATGTAACTTATTGCCCATCAGAGTGTGAACAGTAGAGCCCAGTGAACATGGCTTGTCATGCCAGTTTGTGTGGATTTAGTGTGACAATGGATGGATGTGATGGTTGCTTATTGTTAGGAAAAAAAAGTGTTGGAAAGAAACAGACTTTGATGAAAATAGGTATAAAATATCTCCAACACAAGTGCAAATTTGGCCCCAGTCTTGTGCTAATGTGTCTAAATACGATTTTGAGTAATCTCACAAAATAAAAATTTCCACTTGGTGATGGCAACATCTTAGGAACTTGATGTTTGCAAATAATCTCTGCACAATACAGAACACTTCTAATGAGGGATTATTCCTTGAATTAAAATGCTTTAAAATTTGATGTGTTGAATTTGCTAAATATACCAAACTAGCACCCAAAGATTTGTTTTGAGTTGGTGCCAAAATCATCTGCTCCCTTCACCCCATATTGTGGCACCTTTGACCCATAAAAGTAATATAAACACGTAATCTGCATACTTACCATATTTCAAGGTATCTTCAGCCCGGCCCAGGGGCTTCACAGGTCCTCTTCACCTTCTTCTTTATTCAGCTATGGGGGGATCCTGAATGCTGCATAGCGCTCTCTGCAGCATCTCCTCTGCGTCCAGGGTGGGCCCTTGACACTTTGGGCTTACAGAAAGAAGGTTAAATGACACTGGGCATTATTCTACTTAGATGGTGAGCAGCACTGGATCGATGAGTGGGTCAATGTTCAAGGGACTGCACCATATATAGGGTAAATATTGAAGCCAGAGCTACTTTTTTATTTTTAAAATGATCCTGGAGACAAATATAGGTATTTTTACCCAAGCTGCATTTGAACTTCCAAAAGTTGACTGTACAAATGAACTGGACACTGATTGTTATAGGCAATACTACATTTTACTGTTAGAACATGTTTTGCATGATGTGGGTAGAGAGTGTTACATGATGTGGATGGAGAGTCTTTCATAATGAGAATGGAGAGTGTTTCATGATATGGATGGAGAGTGTGATCTGATGTGGATGGAGATTGGGACATGATGTGGGTGGAGAGTGTTTCATGATGTGGGTGGAGAGTGGGACATGATGTGGGTGGAGAGTGGGACATGATGTGGATAGAGAGTGGAACATTATGTAGATGTAGAGTGGGGCATGATGTGGATGAAAAGGCTGACATAATGCGGGTGGAGAGTGTTACATGATGGGAGTAGAGAGTGTTACATGATGTAGGTGGAGAGTGTGTAATAATGTGGATGGAGAGTCTAATATGATGTGAATGTAGATTGTGACATGATGTGAATGTAGAGTGGGGCATGATGAAGATCGAGATTGGGACAAAATGTGGATGGAGAGTGGGATTTGATGTAGATAGAGAGTGGAACATGATGTGGAAGAAGCATGCATGTTGTGGATGGAGAGTGGAACATGATGTGGATGTAGACTGGGATATTATATGGATGGAGAGTGGTACATGATGTGCATGGAGAGTGGAACATTATGTAGATGGAGAGTGGGACATGTTGTGCATGGAGAGTGGAGCATGATGCGTATGGAGAGTGGAACATAATGTGGATGGAGAGTGTGACATGTTGTGGATGGGGAGTGGAGCATGATGTGTATGGAGAGTGGAACATCATGTGAATGTAGACTGGGAGATGATATGGATGGAAAGTGGGACAGGATGTTGATGGAAAGTGGGACATGATGTTGATGGAGAGGGGGTCATAATGTGGATGGAGAGTGGGTAATGATATAGATGCAGAGTGGAACATGATGTGGATGGGAATGGTGACATAATGTGGGTGGAGAGGGTGAGACATACATTGAGGGAGTGTGAGATGACGTGAAGATTGCTCCGAGGTTCCTCAGTCTCTCTCCAGCCTCCTCACTCCTCTAACGCATAATTTCTATCTTCTCCTTCTTCACATCATTTATAATTTTAGGCAAACATCATTCATCTAATTTACTTTTTTTTTCTACTTTATTCCTCAGTCCAACTGTGTCGTCCTCTACTCTGGTTTCTCCCACGTACACCTTTCCGTTTTACCACATCTCCAGTCTCCCATGTAATGTTCTTGTTCCCCTCATCCCCTCTTTCCATACCTTGGCATGCTTTGTCACATCCTCAGCCTCTGTCTTTCTCCTGCTTGCTACTTCCTCTGTTCATACAATTTCCTTCATATAATTTCTTCTTTCATTTAATGGCTTTGAATCTTTCTCATTTGTATTCTTCCATTTTTTCCCCATCATTTCAGACAGTGCGAGAATAGAGTGAACAACAAACCCTGTTCGACTTTTTATAAATCTTCCCCATTTGTGTGCTTTTGATTCTGTTCATTTTTCTGTCTCTGCCCCTTCTGTATGTCTGATTGTAGCCATTGGTCTTGATTCATTATTTGTCTTCTTCTCTCTTGATCTTTGTTTAACTGACAAAAATCTGTCTCTGTTCCTTTTCTCTGTCTGTCCTTTTGGGGTCTCTTTTGATCTGTTTGCTCTTCTGTCCCTGTGGTTGTTCTGTTTTATCTGTTTTGCTCTTCTTGCCTTCTTCTGTGTTGCCTTGTTGTGTTTCTTTCTGACTCGGTTTCTTTTGTCTCGTTCTCTGACCCTTCTGTGTACCAGTTTCCCCCATTCCCATAGTCTGTGTTGTGCCTATCTGTCTAACAATCTTTTTATGTGCTTTCTGATTTGTTTTCTCTGCTGCTGTGATCTTTTGTTGCCCCCTGTTCTGTCTCTTTTATTCTTGATCTGGTTTGTACCCGAGGGTGCCCTCTGGTTTGTGTCTCTGTCCGCTCTTTAATCTTTTTCCAAGTTTTACTTTTGAAGCTCCTTCGTCTTACCTTTCCTTCCAATCTTTGAAGATTTTCAGTCTCTCCTGTCCCGCTTTCACTCTTCTGTCTACCTGCTTATGATTTCTGTATTGTCCCTCTTCTGGTAATTGCCCCTGTTGCGGTCTGAGAAGATGCTCTATTTTCAGCTTGTCCTGATGGCTGGAACCGTCATCCTCTCCTACCACTTTGAATACACGGACACCTTTCCTGTACACTCCCAGGGTTTCTTCTGTTACGACAGCACCTTGTCCAAGCCATACCCAGGTCCGGAGAGCACCAGCCGGGCCCCGCCACGTCTGCTGTACCCCCTGATCACCGTGCTGCCTGTCCTGACGGTAAATATGACATCAGTTTTGCAGTGATACTGAGGACTGTGCCTACTCCATAGCTGAGAACTGTGTGCGAGACATAGACACACTGAAACTCATTGATGTGATGGGTTATGACAGTATGAGAGTGGGAGCTGCCCCCTCCTCGCACACAGGACTGGGCAGTGGTACTCCGCTACAGCGGTTGTCTGAGCCTAGAGCATCCACAGTCCACTTCACTTTATCCTTGTTGTCCGTGTATATTAGTAGATGCCATTCACTTTTATCCAGATGTCTCCTTTTATTTCATTCTGTTATGTTGATATCATACAATGTTTCTACATTAGACATCAACTGCAATATGCATTAAGAGCGGCTGCAGTGTATAATGGAAAACGGGGAAAAGTAGATATAAACCCAACAATCCGTGTACATTTTCAAGAACTGAACTCTGAAAAGTGGTGCCTAGAAAAGGCATGCAGAGGGCAAGGGACTAGTCTCCGATATTGCCTGTGGTCTCCCTGCATGTGATCGCTCCCACATTATCGCCTTACCATACCTTTCTGCATAGGGTTCCCACCTTTTCTTCAAGACAAAATCGAACACTCTACTGCCGCGCGGCAATTTTTTTGAGAGTATACAGTACAGGAGAGAGCAAAGAGAAGCACCCAGGATTGAGAGCGAGGAGAGACAGCCAGAGGGAGAGGCAACCAGGAGAGAGAGATAGGCAGCCAGGAGAGAGAGCGAGGAGAGAAAAAGGAGAGACAGCCATGAGAGAGACAGCCAGGAGAGAAAGTGTGGCGAGAGCCAGGAGAGAGGCAGCCAGGATAGAAAGCGAGGAGAGAAAAAGGAGAGACAGCCAGGAGAGAGACAGCCATAGGAGAGCGAGGAGAGACAACCAGGGGAGAGAGCAAGGAGAGAGCCAGGAGAGAGAGTGAGGAGAGACAGCCAGAGAAAAAGGAGAGACAGCTAGGAGAGAGCGAGAGACAGCCAGGAGGGAGCGAGGAGAGACAGCCAGGGGAGAGAACGAGGAGAGGCAGCCAGGAGAGAGAACGAGGAGAGACAGCCATGAGAGAGACAGCCATGGGAGAGCGAGGAGAGACAGCCAGGGGAGAGAGCAAGGAGAGACAGCCAGGAGAGAGAGCAAGGAGAGACAGCCAGGAGAGAGCGAGGAGAGACAGCCAGGAGGGAGCGAGGAGAGACAGCCAGGAGGGAGCGAGGAGAGACAGCCAGGGGAGAGAACGAGGAGAGGCAGCAAGGAGAGAGAACAAGGAGAGACAGGGAAGGAGAGCAAGAAGAGACAGCCATGAGAGAGAGAGAGAAAAGAAGAGACAGCCAGGAGGATGCGTGAGGAGAGACAGCCAGGATAGACAGGGAAGAGAGACAGCTGGGCTTCCTGATTAGCCAGGCCCACGCTACCTTGGGATGCTGGTATCGATATTCAGTACCAGGGAGTACCAAAAAACAAATATTAGTACTCGTATTCGATGCCAAAAAAACAGTATGGGTGCATCCCTACTTGATCCCATGACAACTGTCAGAGAGGGGGGTTCCCCTCACATTGGAAAGATATCCTCTCACTTCCTGCTGACTCTACAGGACAAGAAGTGAAGTGAAATCTCTCTGAGACACAGATGGCAAAAAAGAAACTGAAAGCAGTTTTCCCCCCATACTATATCCAAAATAACAAAAAAAATGTTTGCTTTAGGTATACTTTAAAGGGTTGTAGGGGAGGGATGGCTTAACCTTCAGGTGGTCCTGTACGTTCAAGAGAACCTGAGGTTTGCTTATCAAAAGGTTTGCTTTCACCCCCTTTCCCAGCATATAGTAACATTTCTTTTGCTCCCCTGCTGGTCTGTTTGTCATCGGGAGGCTAAGGTAATACCCAGTACTTCCGGGTATGGAGGAGCATGGACCTACGCCATGTGACAGCACTGGACCAATCAGCACTATCACATTGGGTGTCTATCACCCTGTGTAAACTACAACTCCAGTGACTTGTAGCTCACACTACACTATCCTTTCATAGAGTGGTGGGAGAGTGAAAGGAAGGTGAGTATATGTTACTCTTGGCCATTTAGGAATGTGCAGGTGGGGATATTGGGGACTATTCACTATGCTGGAATCTCTGAGTCAGAGTGTGTGGAGTGAGTAGTCCTTAATGTACCATGGAAAGGTCTGTCCACTGAAATCATGTATACCCCCAACCAAATGCTCCCTGTTTGAGTGACAGGGTTCTTTATGGAGCAGGATACATTTCTTTTCTCGACAGATCTTGCTGGGAGAGGTATCTGCGGTCTTCATCAACCCACGATGGAGGAGAAAGGAGAAGGTCATCTCATGTGGTGACTGCTGCTTCTTCAACCCTCTGCTGCGTCGTGTGGTCAGGATTCTGGGTGAGTGAGGAGTGGATTATGTAAGTATTGTTCATCTGGTTCATTGGGCCGACTGGTGCTTTCCTGCAGGTTGATATATGCAGGTGGATGGTTTTGTCCCTTCTTTTTTGCCAATAGAACCTGATGGTTCTTTATTTTATGAAGAAATAGAAATGCAGAAAGTTTGGAGTTCATGTGATACAAGGGAAATGTGTAAAGCCTGAAGAATGGATCTAAAGCACCCTGAAAGCTTGTATCTTTAACAACTAAACCCATCTCCGGGAAAACAAAAACAAAAACTACCCTTGCTGTGGGGCTACACCAGCATTGCAAGGGTTAAGTACTAATTTTCGTCTAGGGGACCTAAGAATAGCAGATTTACTCACCTGATCCCCAATCCCCCGGAGGTCAGCATTGTCCTCCTTTCCCCCACCATGTCTATGGTGGAATGTCTATGGAACCTGCATTAGACTTGATGATGTCAGTGGTCCTTAGACCACCGGAGCATCAGGGAGAAGAGGTTGTGGGGACCGGACTAGAGGTCAAGAGGGAGCCGGCAGGAGCAGGGATTGGATAAATCTTCTTTAATCCAGCCCCTAGACAAAAACAAGCACCTAACCCTTGCATTTCAGGGGTAGCCCCACTACAGGAGTAGTTTTTTGGTTTACCCAGAGATGGGCTTTAATTTAGACTATAAAGGGTTTCTAATAAACTCCAAACTTCCTGCATTTCCCTAATGGTACTATACCCTACTACTGCAAGAAATGGTAATACAACTTTCACAATGGGAGTGCTGCTAACACCCATCCGGTGATTTGGGAAGGTATCACAGTGCGTTATCTCAGGGGGTGATTTATTTGAGGTCTCGCAGATGTCTCACTGCCACTGCCCGTCAATGGTTGACCCAGTACAAGAGCATCATATTGGGAGAGCAATAGAAAGGCTTGAGAGGGCAGGCCAGGGCTGCCAACTATAGAGCTACAAGCTCACATGTGCAGATTGAGGGGGCCAGGTTTCAAACTCCCAGGGTGGTTGTATTTCAAGTCTGCTGTATCTTTATAATTTTAAAATGTGAACTCTGGGCACAAAAACAATCATTATAATATATTTCTCAATAGCTGCAAAGAATATAAATCCACTATCTGTGTGTGGATAATCGCATTTTTCTCTTGTCTTTGCTCCCCAGGACTCTTTTCTTTTGGGTTGTTCTGCACAGTAATCTTTGCTGGAGCCGTTCAGACGGTCACTGGAAACCAGGCTCCTCACTTCTTGTCCGTGTGTCGCCCCAATTACACAGCTCTGGGCTGTGTGTCCCACTTACAGTATGTGTCCTCGCTGTACGCCTGCACTGGTGACCCCGAGCTCATCACCGAGGCTCGCAAAGCTTTCCCCTCCAAGCCAGCAGCTTTAGGAGCATACGCTGCTGTTTACACCACGGTGAGTCCTATACATACACCTAGAGATCTGTTTGTCTTCCCATAACAACCAATAAAGTTCCAACTGTCATTTTACAAGCCAATGAAGAAACTCAGACAGTTCTGCTTACAGATAATTTCATACCACAAGCACAGTGAGGGGGACTTATCAAGACTGGAGCAGACAAAATCTGGAGCAGCTATGAATGGCAACCAATCAGCTTCTCTCTCTCATTTTCAATTCTTACCTGAGCAAACTGAACAGAGAAGCCGATTGGTTACCGTTCACAGCAGCTCCAGATTTTGTCTACTAGTTTTGATACATTTCCCCCATTGTGTTTAACGATACATGGCATGAGAATGAGTGCCAATAAATTAAAGGGCCAATCCATCAATAATCAACCAATAAGTTTCATGCAGTGCATGCCAGCCTGTTAAACCAACCAGCAGATTTACTGACCAGATTTTTGCTCCCAGGCTTTCAATTCTAGGGGACAGAGCTGAGGTATCACTCTCTCTGTGAGATTTAATTTCTTGTGCATAACAAACAGTGAAATAAGACTGCTGCCTGACTTATTAATAGCTGCAGCCAAGGGCAGACCTAGAGACCTCGCTGGAAGCCCACCAGCAATTAGAGTAGGAGCCAAGGGCGTGGAATACGGTACTGCAATCAATGACCAGGCCCCTGCTCCCGGTGGGTCAGATTGCCTTCTATACTCCTTTATTGCCCACTCTGTGTAGTCATGTTAATGGCAAGTATGTAAATGGGAAGCGCTCCATCATATATAACAAAAAGTATAATTTCCGGGTAGTATGGTATCAAGTCCACAATGCAGGCACACAGTGGCATTGTTCAGCATCAATGCACCAGCTGTCAGAGGTAACATAACAAGGAGTAATCCTTTCTAGGCCTTTCACCTAATGGGATTGTAATCTGGGGAAATATGACAACTTTTCAGTGTCTAGTGAAGGTTTAGTATTTTTCTTGTTCTATATTGTTATTGAGTTATGGAAATATAAAGCAAAAGATACAGAAACCCCAAATACACATCTGCTTGTAAACATCATAAACATTGACAGGCATGTATGACTTCGTCATTTCAATGTCACTAGAACATATCACAGGGACATACTGTGGTTAGGAATCCAGTCAAGTGATAAGAAATAGGATGGGGAATTAGTGAATTAAGATTGCAGATGTAGGAAAAGTGAGGAATTGAGTGGGAAAGGAAGGGAGAGGGAGTAGAGATGGGAAACGGAAGGATAGAGGAGAAAAAGAGAAAAGAGGAGAGAAAGGAAGAGAAAGAAGGGAGAGAAAAAGAGGAGAAAAGAGAGAAAAGAGGAGAGGAAAAAGAGGAGGGAAAAAAGAAGGAGAGAGAAGAGAAGGAGAGGAAAGAGAGAAAGGAGAAGGAGAGAAAGGAGAAGAAGAACACATGAGAGAAAGGAGAAGGAAAGAAATGAGAAGGAGAGAAAAGAGAAGGATAAAAAAGAGGGAGAAATAGGAGAAGGAGAGAAAGGAGCAGAGAAAGGCGAAGGAAAGAAAAGAGGAGAAGAGAAAGAAAGAGCGCCCCTAAGTTTTCTGAGGTATTTGGGAACACAACCACCCACCCAATTCACAGCTTTTCTTAAATTTGGGCATTGTATCTGTCAGTTTTGCTGTAAATTTTTCATTAGAGAATTTTTACTTCAGTTATAATGAGGGAGTTAGTTACCCCGGCTTACATAATAACTTGTTTTGTTGCTGGTAAAACATAAGTAATGAACTTATATTGGAACTCTGCTTGCAGAGTGCTTCACTTGGGTTTTGAAGTTACAGTATTTTAGTTGAGGGCCTTTATGACCCTTTTGGCACACCTCCCCAAAAAGTTGACTGACATAAAAATATTCTCAGGTGATATCTGTATAATTTGTACTTCTACAGATGTACGTCACGCTGGTCCTGAAGATAAAAGGATCTCGGCTGGTGAAACCATCCCTGTGTCTGACTCTCCTCTCCCCGTCATGGCTGCTCTGTCTGCTGCGTGTTGCTGAGTACCGGAACCACTGGAGGGATGTTCTTGCTGGCACTGTGGTTGGATCTGCTATTGCTGTGTTCCTAGTAAGAACTGAGGATTGCGTGATGTAGAGGAAAGCAGCAAAGTATGGATATGTAGAATATGTAGATCTAAAAGCCGGGCTCTAGGCAAAAAAGCTAAAAACACAAATAAAATGTATATGGTGTCAATCTAGAAATAGACAGATAAGAATATAAACCTATCTTCAAAGGTTTGGGTAGCATCCTGAACAGGTCCGGTCATAGGTGTAGGGAGTCCCTTCTAAAACAGACTGGGGGAAAGCTATCTATCCAAGGAGTCCATATAGCATTTCATATGCCCATTGTGTCATCTTGATGAGCTGTGAGCTTTTCAAAGAGCATGGTATGAGACCTATTATTAAAAAATAGCCAAAGAGAAAGTGTGGGGGTCTTCCATCAACATGTAATCACCCGCTTAGCAGCCGTAAACATGTGCTTACATTGATTCTGGGAGAAACCTCCCAGTGTCTTATTTAGGAGAGTAAAACGAGGTATCCCCTACACACCATACAGCAATGGCGAACATAGGTAGTTTTTTGATGGCGCTCATAGTGATGTCCACGGATGGCGCCATGCAAATCCAAGGTTTGAACAATGAAGATCACCAGCACACGAAGGATGAGATAAATCCAAGTGTTCTTTTATTCAAAGAAGCATGTCACAAGTGTTTAAGGAGCCAATGTTTCAGAAACCACGCAGGGTCCCTTCATCAGGCCAAACATAGTGAACAATGACCATAGTGACTATGTTTGCCCTGATGAAGGGACCCTGCGTGGTCCCGAAACTTTGGCTCCTTAAACACTTGTGACATGCTTCTTTGAATAAAAGAACACTTGGATTTATCTCATCCTTCGTGTGCTGGTGATCTTCATTGTTCAAACCTTATTTAGGAGAGTAACACAGTGGTCCTTCTGGAGTGGAGAACCCATGACCATTATGGTAAATATTGGACTAGAGTTGGAATACGCCTGGACAATCCCACCAGATAGGGACACACATGCCATCTGCTTGACAGCTCCTAAAGCAGTTTAAAGGGTGTGCTGGGAGGCCCCCTAGAGATTGTATGTGGGACAAAGTACCAGCACATGAGTAACTTATAAGTGGGCTCTGAGGTCGACACTGCGGCTGAGCTTGCAGAGGGGCAGGTCCAGATGTGGTCCCAATCATCAGAGTCCCTTTGTATTCCCAGTATCCTAAGCTATTGATGTGAACGCCATGGTCCCTGGGCACTTTGTAAGATATCTGTTTATGCAGTAAATGTTCTACTGTTTCATCTGTATGGAATAAAATGCCATTCAGATTTTATAGTCCTCTAAGAAGAGTAGATTGAGGGCAGAAAAGAGATAACTGAAAAAGAGGAAAAAGGAATTGCTTGATTGCCCAGCTATAACAGCACTGTCTTTGAATGCCCCTCACACCAGGTTACCTGTGTATTGAATAATTTCGGGAGCTCCACCTCCGAGGAGAAGGAGTTACATCAGAAAGAAGAGGATGAGGTCCCTGTACCTGAGAACCTTCATCCTGCGGCACGTGAAAAGTTAAGTGTGGTAAGGGGGGACCTAGTGAGAAAAGAGGAACAGTTCTCATTTATCAGAGAGTCTGAAATAAGAACTGACTCTACAGCCTCATAAGAACCAGACTCAGGCTTCCTTCGCACCTAAGGGTGAGCACACCTAGAGACCTTTTTTTGCTTTTTGAAACGTTTTCATGCACAACTTGTAGTACAGGAGTAGAATCGTGTGTTTTTGGCCCCATAGACTTTTAAATGGGCGCGCCTAAAAAACTTATGTAAACAAGCAAATTTTTTAACAGTTTTTCAGGTGCTCCCATAAAATCCATGAGGCCAAAGCACACAATTATTCTCCAAAAGAAGCTCATGTACTGACTGGCCACAAGTGGCACAACGCCCAGCTGAGAACAGGAGCCATTGAAAACAATGCAATTCCTCTTGTTGAAAGTTGTTGCGCCTAAGCTGGCCATACACTGGTAGCATTTCGACTAAATCCTACTGACATTACCGAAATTCAACCCGTTCGAACCCCCCATTATTCAACAAAAGTTGAACAGACGCCGGTTTTAGAATACAATAGCCCAGCAGGGGTGGGGAATTTCCACATCCATGCTGTTTCTGTGGATAGGGGCATTTAAAGTTTTTTTCTTATTCAGCGACATAGTGTATGGCCAGGCTTAGGGAAAGCAGCTACACAATGCCTAGGTGTGAATGGGGCCCATAAACTTGCATAGGAAGACGAGCAGTTGTGGAATAAAGGATGAGACCTGATTCATTCATATTTTAGACACTTTGATAAAGTGGTAGACTAGCTGTAAGGCAAGGGATGGGGACTATGGGCATGGTTGGTTAGATTGGTGAGGGATGGGGACTATGGGCATGGTTGGTTAGATTGGTGAGGGATGGGGACTATGGGCATGGTTGGTTAGATTGGTGAGGGATGGGGACAATGGGCATGGTTGGTTAGATTGGTGAGGGATGGGG